ATTCTCCAGCCTGTCCAGGTCCTTCTGAATAGCAGCACAACCATCTGGTGTACCAGCCATTCCTCCCAGTTTTGTATCATCTGTAAATTTGCTGATTGCGCATGAACTCTACCCCACCTAGGTCATTAATGAGGATGTTAAATAATTCTCAATGCAATACTGACCCATTAGGGTACACCACTAGTGACTGGCCTCCAGTTGGACTTTGTGTTAGCGATCACAACCCTCTGAGCGTGGCATTTCAGTCAGTTTTAAATCCACCACACTGTCTACTTACCTAGTCTGTACTTCATCAGTTTGTCTGACGACATTATGACAGTGTCAAAAGCCTTATTAAAGTTAAGATAAAACATATCCAGGGCTCTCCCCTCGTCCACCAAGCCAGTTGTCTCATCACAGAAGGCTATGAGGAAGGTTAAGCATGACTCAACCAGCATTCCTGAGCCCCCCTTCTCTTCAGGACCATATCCCATGGGATTCTTCTAGATATCTGAAAAGGTGAAAGTCTGCTCTCCTGAAGCCCAGGCTTTTGATCTTGCTTTTTTGCTTTGCTCCTTCCTCTCAGGATCTTGAACCAAACCCCACCATCTGATAGTCACTGCAACAAAAACTGCCCCTTACCTTCACATCAACAACCAGTTCTACCTTGCGTGTAAGCATGATGTCCAGTAGAGCATCCTTCCCTACTTGGCTCCTTGATCAGCCGTGTCAGGACACTGTCATCAATCCACTCCAGAAAATTTCAGGAGTGCTTGTGACCTGTTGTGTTGTTCCTCTGGCAGATACCAGGGTGGCCCCACAAGGCCAGGAAATGTGAACACAGGGCTTCCTCCAGTTGTCTGAAGAAGGCCTTATCACTTCTTGATCAGGTGGTCTGTAGCAGATACTCGCCACAACATTGCCCATGTTAATCTGCTTGTTAATCCTGGCCCATAAGCTCTCAAATGGCTCATCATCTGTTCCTATGCAGTTTCACGCATTCCAGCTGCTCCCTCACATGAACAGCATTGCTCCCTCCTCATCTTCCTGGCCTGTCATTCCTGAACTGTCCTTCCTGAACAGCCTGTACCTAGCCCTTGCCATAACGCAGTTGCATGAGCTATCCCACCACTTCTCCATCATACCAATGAGATTGTGGCCATGCAACTGCACACTGATTCCTCCTGTTTGTTCCTTGTGCTGTATGCATTAGTGTACAGGCACTTCAGGAAGGCACCTAGTCACACTGATTTCCCAGAAATGGTATGACAGCTTTCTTCACAATGCTGTGATGTACACAGTTCCTTACTTCTGTGCATATGCTTGAGGTGGACATCTCTCATCCCTGTTTTCTTGAGTATGAGATTTCTCCTGTTCACATCATTCCACATTGCTTGCTTGCCAACCCAATCAACTAATTCCTTTCTCAAAACTGGTCATACTGGTCATACTCTCCCTCCCTTGGTCCTGGCTTATAGCTCTCCTATGATCCCATGATCATAAACCCCAAAACCCTCTTGTCAAAACCAGCTGCGCAAACAATGGTTGATGTGCAGAATCGGTCCACCCCTCTACCCCTCACTGGCAGGATTAAGAAAACCACCTGGGCTCCATGGCCTTGACCACTACTCCCAGAGCCATACAGTCACTCTCGATACTGTCCAGGTCTCCCTGATAGTATTGTTCACGCCAATATGGAAGAGTAGCAGAGGGTAAATGTCTGAGGGACAGACAAGCTTTGGCAGTCTTTCCACTATGTCCCAAATGTGAGGCCCTGACAAGCAGAAAACCTCCCTAAGATGACAGAGCAGATACACTCATCCCAAATTTAAATATATTCCCTGATCCCAACAGGAATTGTAACATTAAGGCAATGGAAAGGTTTTAATCATATTCTACAAAAACCTAGGGATCATGGATGAGGAGTAAAATGACAGTACCTTTCACAGGATGGGTCGAAACTCATGGATAAAGCTGATGGATAAATTAGTCTTCTTCAGTCCATGAAAATAATGACAAATTTTGATCCCTGCTGTATTCACTTGAACACTTGAACATAACAGTTGGGGAAAAAAAAAAAAGAAAAAAAAAGAAAAAAATCTACTTAACCTACTGGAACCCTTCCAGCTATTAAGCAGAGAATTTCTCATGGAAGAAAGAAAATGCTGTCTCTAGTGAAGAGCACAGCTAGGGTTGCAAGATAAAAGGATTGCAGATTTGGTTGGTAGACATTTCCTGCCAGCTCAGTTCTCACTACTAGAAGAAAACAAATAAAAACCTCCAACGCCACTCCAAATCTTCAGTATCTCAAAAAAGAGAAAGCTGAGTATGAAAACTCAGAAAAGAGCAGGTTGCTATAGGATGAGAATCCTGACAGTATCCCCAGATGAGCAACAACCATGTTCAGGAGAGCAAAATGCTCTTGAAGAACAGCTCCAGAAAGAAATAATCTTATGGTCTGCAAGTGAATTCTGGGATAAGACAGAATTTAACTTATTTCTGACAATTTCGAAGACAAAGGAGTTGAAAAATGTTGCTCTTTCTGCATGACACTGAAAGAGTGCCATTCGTTATCCATTTGTTAAAGTGAAAAGAATTTTAACAATTTGGGATGCTACCATGGCTAAGATCTTCATAAGGCTCAGATCTAGTGTCCAGTGTGCATTTATTGTGCCGGGGAGAGTAATTTAAGAGGTTTTTTCCAACTAAGATCTAGTGTCCAGTGTGCATTTATTGTGCTGGGGAGAGTAGCTAAGAGGTTTTTTCCAACTAACCTTTTCCAGCCCACAAAATGGGAAGGGGAAGATGATCTGGGGGATTGTGGTGGAAATAATGTTCTTTGACTTCACTTTTAAGGGTGCAGCTGGGATGTACAGGAGGATGTCAGCCAAGGGAGAACTGTGATAGAGCAGAGTTTGTTGAGAGAATCTCTGCTTGAAGAAATTCTGTTTAGAATACCCTTGTCAAGACAGCGACGCCTGCCTGGGTCACCGGCTCTCTCTCGTGCAGGAATGAGAGAGGTTCAGTTAGGTTGCTTTCCCCATTTCAGCTGCAAACTCAAGTGAGTGCAACACCACTGGAGAATCCTTGAATGAGCAAGGGACTTGCCTAGTCTGCTGCTATACAAGGGGTCTTCTGAATGATAAAATCATCCAAAAGCATCAATAGCACATCTTGGGGCAAAGCCTAAAATAGAGGGTCACAAATAGCACATGAGCATGACAGTTGTGGCCAGAGCCTCAGAACGTGCACCAACTTGGAAGGCGATGCACACTGCAAGCTACACATCAGACAGAAGATGGATAATCACATCTCTAGACTCCATAAGGAGTCTCTCAAGATTCGTTAACAGTCAAGAACCCCAGGGCCAAGTGCAGCATCTTGCACCTGGTGATTAACCAGTCTCATTTGCAGAGAAACTGAGAAGCACATCTTTTGTAAGTACCTCCCAAAATATTTAGGAACCGCCTCAGAGAGGCAGTATTATTTGCAGACAGAGAGGGCTGAGAAAGTTATCAGAGTATACTGACCAGAAACTAAGGAGCTCTTTGCCAATTCAAGCAGATGGTTGACACCACAGCACTGCAAAAGAATGGTCTGAAATCCTTCATAAATACAGAAAGATGCAACAGGAAGAGACCCCTGTGCACTCCAAAAAAATCAGGACAAGAAGCTACCTGCAATTAGGGGGAAAGCTGGCAATACCAGCAGCAAGCTAAGTTTCTAGTCAGACAAGGAGGGTGTGCTGCACAGTAGCCTCTTCCACCTCTTAGGAGCTGGCTAGGGGAGTCAGAAACAGGAACCGGTAACTCTGTGGTTGGTGGTGCCACATTCCTCTCCGCAGTTCTCATGGCTACATGCTAGTTATGCTTGTGCCCAGGGGACCCAGAGAATGTGCAGTCCCATGGGACACGCTAAACTTAACTGGAAAGTAAAGTACTCCACTTCTGGCAGGAATGGACCCCGAATGCCAAAAGAGGAACATGCAGCCTGATCTGTTCCTCTACCACAGCTCAGCAGTCCGCACGTCTTGTGAGCAACCACAAATAAGTATGGAGTGTGAGTGCCGAGTGCATTAGCACAATAACAACAGAACAGCCAGCAACAAGGACTTCTCCAGAAAAGATGATGAGGGACATAACTGTCTAGCACCAATGGTCTCAATGCTGAGTAGCTGGTGAAGGTAATGGTGTCAGAGGTAGCTGCAGAACCAAGTGCCAAGAACACAGTTCGAACACTGGTGGACACCATATTCTGTTAGATCTATGGGTGTGCTTCCTCTGCAGCAGCAGCTACTCACCCATTTTTTTTTTAAGATTCAGCTTGTCTGACCAGGCCAATCTTTGTAACTCTCTGAAGAAGTCTAAGCTGTAGCACTATGGATCGAGATCTGAAAAAGTGGCTATGCTGGCAGCAGCTCTAAGGTCCAGTCTCTTGACTGAAGGCCTAATTGGTTGATGACCCCTCAGACAATCCAGGAGAGTGCTCAATACATGAGATGCTGAATTCAAAACAATACTTGGCTTCACATAAGCTGTAGGCTCAGGATGAGACACTGCATCAAGCACACCCAAAAATTTCAGCAGAAATTCAGCAGAAGTTACTGCATGCAGCAGTATATTCTTGCACATGCTGCAGGTGGAAGGAATGGACCTTTTCCTGAGGCTATAAAGCATTAAGTATGGGGTAGATGCTAGGATGCATGTGGGAAATCATAGTGGGTTCACTACTGGGCTGTAGTAGAGCGGGTTCAGCACAAACCACACCACAACTAAAAAGGTTGTCAAAGCAAACACCCTCATACTGGTAAGCTGAGAAAAGCTCAGTGTGCAAGGGCACACGGGCTTGAGTCAGTACAGCATGGAGTGGACAGGGCCGCTGTGTCCCCTGTTTATAGTGCTACAGTCAAAACCTTCATTCATCATATTCACTCAGGAGCAACTGGCCAAAGTTTGAATGGACTCGTCAATAATCAAGGTACCGGTTAAAATTTCAGGATACTTATAAGCAGTAAAGGTTGGTTATTTGTCATCACCCACCTGGCCTTGTTTCCAGCACTCCCTGAAGATCTTCCAGTTGTTTTTGTTGCTAGGATCATGAAGGCAAAGGAGTCTACCATCACACAGCCAAGAGTGGGAAGTGTGTGGATCCAGCACATTTAAGCCCATTACCATTTCCTTGACCTCTCTCTGTGTGTCAGCTAAATTACTAGCCCGTTTTGCAGCATCAGACGTCTTCTTATTTTCCACCACGGAAGCAATGATATGGTCTAAGAAGTTAGGCAGGCTGGCTTTACCTTTGGCCCCCTAGAAGATGTAAATCCAGAGGTAAGTTTAGTCTTGCAATAGCATACATATTAATGTATGTATGCTCTCATTCAGATTTTAGTCACGGACATCTTGCTATCAGAAAAACACGCAACAGTAAACAAATCAGCTCAGAGACAGGCACATACCCAATAAGAACAGAAACAGCTATGCCCCTGTTTTATAATAGTAAAACTTAAAACAACCTGCTACAGGGTATCTAGAAAAAATATTACAGCAAACAATCATGGAACAGAAAACTTAAGTCATCTAAACTCTGCTACTTTAATGGTAAAACAAGGTTCATATTTTTCTTAACTTACATTAACATCTCAACTCTATTTCCCCATTTTCCTCATTCCATTATTAAGAAAGTGAATACAACCCTGGCACAGGTAAGCTGAGGGATATGGGAACATTAATTAAACACTGACAGACAGAGAGGAGAAGGTGCTTCCTGGATGTACAATGTTAATAGAACCATTAGTAGACAGCCTCTCTGGCTGTGGCGTCCGTGCTCCTCAAGGGATGTTTAAAACTCCTTAAGGGATGTTTAAAATTTGGAAGACATTAACAACACAATCTTAAATCGTGTTCTTAACTTAAAAAAAAAAAAAAAAAAACCCTGCCTATAGGCCTTACCTATAGCAAGATACTTAAGACACTAAATATACTTCATATATTTAACAGAAGATAAACACTAACTGGAGCATTATTCACAAGACACCTATAGGAGGGGGCAGGGGTGCGATAGATTTCTGGTAGCAGAGAGCTTCTCATTCTAGCAAAAAAAAACCCAAAACAACAAAAAACCCAAAAATGCCCCCCCTCCAAAAAAAAGCAGGGACTGGAAGCTGAATGAACAGTAACAGTGAAAAACTACTACGGGAACAATTTTGCCATCTTCTTTAAAACTGAACTTCAACAGACAGAAAATTTACCATATGCAGAGCTATCAATCTAAAATATAACACTATTCATAACTGAAGATACAAATTCAGTAAAAAATATTCATGAAATTATAGAAGAGTATAGGTCAGAAGGAAGACCTAGAGATCGTTTGGTATAACTTTCTGTTGAAATCAGGTTAAGTTACCCTGGGCTGGGTCAAGCCAAACCTTAACTTCTCAGGGAAGGAGATTACATCACTTCTCTGGGCAGCCTGTTCCATTGCTTGAATGTAAAGTAAGAATTTTTTCTTATATCCAGATAGAAGTTCCCCTGAAGCAACTTGTGTCCATTGCCTCTTGCCCTCTTACCATGCACCCTTGTGAAAGGAGTACCTCCATATTCTCTACAACTACCTTTTAGATACGATAAGATCGATCAGATCCCCAAAGCATTCTCTTCTCTAGGATGAAGAGAACCGGTTTCTTCAACCTTTCTTCATGTGTCAAGCTCTCCAACGTTTTAATCATTCTTCATGGCCCTCCACTGGACCCCCTCCAATTTTTCAGTTTAATTCTTCAACTGGGGAGACCAAAACCAGAAAGTGTTCCAAGTGTGACCTAACAAGTGCTGAGTGGAATAATCACTTTCCCTGATGTGCTCCAGCTGTACGCTTCCTGATGAGGCCCAGGACAGTTTGCCTTCGCAGCTGCAAGGGTGCAATGCTGACTCATGTTCAGCTTGCTGTCCTCCCTGGGCTCCTTTCAGAAGCGTTACACCCCTGCTGGTCAGACCCCAGCCTGTACTGCTGCTGCGGATTATATTAGTTTTCTACAGCCTGTCTTATGCAAGTAAGACTAGATCATAACATCATCCACTTACAATGGTCTTAAAAATGTACCTTTATGCTAACTCTTTAGAGGCCACGAAATAGATAATATGTAGTTTAGCTATTACAGTCAATGCTAACTACTCTTCACAACAGAATGTCAATGCTCCAGAAACACCAAGATGATTCTCTTCATGAGCAGCTATCTATTATTCCTCTCAATTTGACCAACACAACTGTGGTTTCTCAGGTATGTTTCGTTCATATATAGTCTATATTAAGCATCCAGCCATTCAAGCTGGGGGTTGGACCAGAGTTCCCCACAAGTTCTTTCAAATCTAAATTACTCTGTGAAAACCAGAAGTCAAGAAAGTGTAAAAAGACATTACATAGTAGATCTGATTCAATGTGGTGAAAGAATGCATAGAGTCGCAGGGACAGGGATACAAGTTGAGACAGGCCCTCTCAAGCCTTGAAGGAATAACTTGCTTTAAAACAAGTGATGGCAATTTCTTTGCCTGTACTCAGTGATGAGAGGGGGCGGGGGGGAAGTATTATTGGATTCACTTTCCTGCAGCAGCGACATATTTTCCCATACAGCTGTACGGGTCCCTCTACCAAAACCAAAACAACATGAACTATTATTAAGGTTTCATCCTTCCAGCCTGACTCAGAGGAAAAAAAAAAAAAATCCTGCTACGAGACAAGCCATTTCATCATCTTTCTCATTCTATTTGCCTCAGCTTTTGGAGAAAGTATTCTCCAAGAAGAGCTAAGCCTTGATAAATTCCACAGAATCTATCCTTCTCTTCAACTAAATGCTTGTAACCATTTCAAATATCATTGATTTATTCAAGGATTTTTTTTAAGGTTATTTCCTCCAAAATGGATTAAAGAGAAACAAAGTATCCTTATTCCAGAATAAGCATCCAGAAGTAGCAACTACACCTTAAATTCTTAAATTCATATTCTGTGTTAAATGCCTTTCAAGTATACATAAGTTTTTTTAAGGAACTGGTCTGCTCATAGGTTTTTGTCTTTTTCTGTGGTATGCTCTTGCACATTTTTAAAGATGTGCAATTTAAAGTGAGCTTTTAGAGGCATGCTGATTATCAATTAAACAATCTAAAGGCTACATTTAAAAACTCACTTTCTTGGTCTCTTGCAAGGACTAGCTTCTCCACAGCAGTAGTAAACCAAACCACAAACTAACAATTAGCATCAAAATTCTCTACAGCTTTGTGGAGTGCTAAGATACTGCATTTGTTTCAACATTTAAGAATAAGACACTATAAAAACATTTAGATGAAAACTTTTAGATCATCATGAAATTCTTCCCTAGAACAGATATCATTGAAGGAATACAAAATTATTTACCGTAGAAGCTGCAGAAAAGACCGGAGGAAAGGGGATTCCTGTGTCTAACGGGACCTGAGGAAGCTTTCCTGGCCCTGTGTGTAGCAGATCTCTGAGGCTGGAGCCTTCAGCTTTGTTGCTAGATGTCACTGGGCCCAACAAGAGGCTATTAAACAGCTTTGGGGTTAGTGGGGAAACCTTTGTACTGGAGTTGAAGGAATCCAATCCAAAGGGTGAATGGGATTCTTTATTAAGCACTGACCTCAGTGATCCTGATTCTGCAAGATAAATATCAACATTGGAAAAAAAAAAAAAAAAGAAGAAAAAAGGCAAAGTTCAAATGATCAAAAAGGGAATACAAAATTATTTACCGTAGAAGCTGCAGAAAAGACCGGAGGAAAGGGGATTCCTGTGTCTAACGGGACCTGAGGAAGCTTTCCTGGCCCTGTGTGTAGCAGATCTCTGAGGCTGGAGCCTTCAGCTTTGTTGCTAGATGTCACTGGGCCCAACAAGAGGCTATTAAACAGCTTCGGGGTTAGTGGGGAAACCTTTGTACTGGAGTTGAAGGAATCCAATCCAAAGGGTGAATGGGATTCTTTATTAAGCACTGACCTCAGTGATCCTGATTCTGCAAGATAAATATCAACATTGGAAAAAAAAAAAAAAAAAGAAGAAAAAAGGCAAAGTTCAAATGATCATAAAGTTCTCTGAAATTATTTGCTCTTGCATTAAATAGGATATTGACAGAATCTTGTGGTAAAGGTAAATTATCACTGCAACAGTGAATGAGTGACTTTAAAAAGAATCAAAGACATGTACTTCACATAGATTTTACCCTTAGTATGCTGTTAGTTAAGATTTTGAATAGCACAATAGATCTGATCTGAAAGCTTGATACACAAGAAACCACAACTTTGTAATAAACTCAATTAAAAAACATTTTCTTGACTTTCTGAAATTAATGTTTCAATATGAAATATTTCAAATTTTAACTGTAGTCAAAATATTGCAGTGGCTAAGCCCTGAAAAACTAGTGAAAGAGTCATGAACATTTAACATTGACATATAAAGTATCCCCTGCTAGATATATGGACAGGAATAAATCCTGTGTTAGTCATGTTACCTTTGATGACTGGGAGGTGTATTCTGTGAACAGTTATTTCATATTGAGAATCACACTTAAACTACTGAGTATTAAAGAAGTTCTAAGCTTTCATCTGACCCTCCAAGTAGACTCTAGTCTCTCAATTCTTTGGAAATGCACTCTTCACATCGTACACAAACCAGCTTTATTTACTTCAATATTTATAAAGTGACAAAGCTGCATCTGCAATTAATTACTATCATTTTACATCAGGATACCAGTGGCTTATTACTTAGAAAATAAATACAAGAACTGACACTGAAATAAAGGGGGAGTAACAAGACAGTATTTTTATCTTCAGCTGTATCATCATCTTTCCAGCTTTGCATATTCCTAAGCCTGTAAAAGAAAACTGATTCTAAGAGGCAAAGGAAGAAAAATGACCGTGTTCTTTTCTATTTAGGGCTAGGCACTCTCACAAAGAATAGCAACCAAGCAGTACATTATCATTTCTCTTTTAATTCCAACCCCCGAGGACACGTCTTCTGCTCACCTTTTGTTTCTTCTTTTGCTTTTTGCGTTGCTAAATCTGCAAGCCAGTGTAAGGCTGACGACGGAGCTGTTTCTGGACAAAGTGGTCTGTTAGTCTTTATTTCACCAGTGTTATTGGTTGGTAATGTCTCTGTTTTTGCAGATTCTTCTATCCTACTATCAGGTGCTTCAGATTTTGGAACAGTGTCCATTTCTATTTGCCCCACTCCTGCTGTCCCTGCTCCAGTGGAAAAGGTGCTCTCGTTTCCAGAGACTGATGCACTAGGATTTACAGTTGGAAGCTAAAACAAAAATATAAACAACTGCTAAATGCTGAATAAAGGGAAGAGTTCAACTTGGGAGACATTTTAGTTATCCAATGCATTGGGTTTTGCTTGTTGTTTTTGTTTGTTCATTTGCTTTACGTGCACAGTAGAGTTCCTTTATGCTTATGCGGCAGCAGAGCACAGGAGCTTCGTCTCTGTGTATAACCTTCCACTGCGGTGTGAATTCTTATCACATCATCTTTTAACACAAGCCCGTGCTTTTCCATTTCTCTTTTTTACAGGAGGACTCTTTGTGTGAACAGAAACAGAACTGCTCGAGATTCAGCATAACATTCAGGAACCATAACAAAATAAATGCACATGTTGCAAGCTACTCATAGTGGTTTGTTTTAAGATACAGCATCAATATGAATGGCTTCCCACCCAACTTCTACATAAGAGTATTAGCCCAAATATCCACTTGGTAAATAACAGTTGCAGCACACATCCCTGAAAAATGTCCCAGAAGATATTTGCTAAGCTAAAACACTCAGAATACAGATAGAGAAAATAAAGTTTGTGTTTCACAATAGATTAGTCTAAAGGATCTAACGTTTAATAGATCTTAAAAATGTAATCCCAAACAAGGTAATTTCAGCCTCAAAATTACATACCTGTGATATTCCATTAGTGACAGCTGGTCTCAACACTGATTTGTTCTGCCGGCTAATACATGGACAATTGGCTTTAATACCCCATTTGCCTCGTGCTGCATGAACCATATCTCCAATATTGTAAAGCGCTGGAAATAAAGTTAATCTTTAATATCACATGTAAAGAAAACTAAAAACAAGGGCTTAACTACAATATATACACAGTATTTTTAGTATTACTGCTAAGTATCTTCAAGATCACATGCTGTAACAAGACACTTGTCTCTGAATAGAGAATTGTGCTAGCACTAGCTTTGCAATGTCACTGAGAGGCTGTCAAGCCTGGCGAATCCTACAGATTATCATCTGCTCCTACTATTCCCTGCAGCATCCAATGATACTGCAATGAGGCAACTTAGAACCATCAAAAGAGGCTGTATCTCCCTTGGAGCAATGCTAAAAGGATCTGGAGCACAGGTGGTGTTCTCCTCTATCCTCCCAGTAAGAAGATGGAGGTCAAATTAAACAGGTGAATGCCTGGCTGTGTGGCCAGTGCCATACTCAAGGTTTTGGCTTCTATGATCACAAACCTACCTTTGAGAAGCTGAGTGTCTCGGGAGCTGATGGGATTCACCTGCCCAAGCAGGGCAAGAGAATCTTTGCCAACAAGTTGGCCAGACTTGTATGGAGAGCTTTAAACTAGATTTAATGGGGGAAGGGGATGGATATTTGAGCAACAGAGAAGAGCCAGGGGCTGCTGATGTATTAGGAAGCAACAGGGAAACATCTGTGAAATGCCTCAAAGGAATTTGGGCATGCTCCTCTCAAGAGCTGACAAGGCTGACAGCCCAGCTGAAGTGCCTCTATATACCACTGCATGCAGCATGCGTAACGAGCAGGAGGAGCTGGAAGTCATTGTGCAACTAGAAAGATACAATCTAATCCCTATCGCTGAAACATGATGGGACAAATCGCACGACTGGAGCACTGCGGAGTGGTTGCTCTCTATGTAAAAGAATGGATTGACTGCACAGAGCTGTCTTTGAAAAACAGCGATGAACAGGTTGAGAGCTTATGGGTAAAAATTAAGGGCTAAGCCAACACAGGAAACCTCACTGTTGCTGTTTACTACAGGCCGCCTGACCAAGGGTAGCCTGCACAAAGCCTTTTCTTACTACAACTACAGGAAGCATCATGCTCACAAGCTCTGATCCTGGTGGGGAAATTCAATCACCTTGACACCTGCTGGAATAGCAGCACAGCAAGCTGTATGCAGTGTAGAAGACTTCTGCAGTGCATCAAGGATAATTTCTTAATCCAGAAAAAGACAGCCTGACTAGAGGATAAGCGTTACTGGACCTGTTGCTCACCAACATGGAAGAATTAATTACAGATGTCAAGATTGGTGGCAGCCTGGGCTGCAGTGATCATGCCCTGGTGGAATTCACAATCTTGAGGGATATGGGCCAGGTGAAGAGTACAGTCAGGACGCTGAATTTTAGGAAAGTGAACTTTTAGTTCTTAAGAAATTAGTGTATGGGACCCACTGGAAAACTGCCCTCGGGGACAAAGGAACTGAACAGAGCTTGCAACTCTTTAAGAACATTTTTCTTAGAGTGCAAGAGCTCCAAATTCCCATCTGCAAAAAATCGAGCAAGGAAGGCAGGAGAACAGCATGGGTCAGTAAGGACCTCCTGGTCAAACTAAAATGTAAGATGGAAACGCATAGGCAGTGGAACCAGGGACATGTCTCCTGGAAAGAATATAGGGACACTGCCTGGATGTGTAGGGAGGGGATCAGGGAAGCTAAGGCACAGCTGGAGCTGAATTTGGCAAGGCATGCAAAGAATAAGGGCTTCGACAGGTATGTTGGCCAGAAATGGAAGATTAAAGAAAATGTACACCCTACCTTCACTAAATAAGACAGGAGAGCTGGTCACAGCTGACACGGAGAAAGCTGAGGTACTCAACAATTATTTTTTTTTTCCCCTCTGTTTTCAGTGGTATTCTCTCAAGTCCCTGAACCTCAAGGCAGGGACCAGGGGAACAAAGTTCCTCCCATCATAGGAGAATCATAGAATATCTCGAATTTGAAGGGACCCATAAGGATCATCAAGTCCCACTCCCTGCTCCTCGCAGGACTACCTAACACTGAACCATATGACTAAGAGCATTGTCCAGATGCCCCTTGAACTCTGACAGGCTTGGTGCCGTGACTGCTTCCCTGGGGAGTCTGTACCAGGGACCGACCACTCTCTCAGTGAAGAACCTCTTCCTAATGTGCAGCCTGAACTTCCCCTGGCGCAGCTTCATTCCCTGTCCTCATGTCCTGTTGCTGGTCACCGGAGAGAGGAGATCAGCACCTCCCCTTCCGCTGCCCCCCTTGAGGAAGGTGTAGACTGTGATGAGGTCACCCCGCAGCCTTCTCTTCTCCAAGCTGAACAAACTGAGTGTCCTCAGCCACTCCTCATAAGTCTTGTCCTCGAGACCCTTTGCTATGTCGGTCACCCTCCTCTGGACACATTCTAGTAGTATGATGTCCTTCTTGTATTGAGGCACCCAGAACTCCACACAGTACTTGAGGTGGGGCTCCACCAGTGTCAGGTTCAAGACTACCTGAGGCACCTGAACATACACAAGTCCATGGGACCTGATGAGGCGCATCCCACGGTCCTGAGGAAACTGGCTAATGTAGTTGCCAAGTCACACTCCACCATACTTGAAAAGTCCTGGCAGTCAGGTGAAGTCGCCACTAGCTGGAAAAAGGGAAACATCACGCCCATTTTTAAGAAGGGTAAAAAGGAGGACCCTGGGAACTACTGACCAGTCAGCCTCACCACAGTGCCCAGTAAGATCACTGAGCAGATTCTCCTGGAAGACACGTCAAAACATATGGAAGGCAAGGAGATTATTAGAGACAGCCAACACGGCTTCACCAAGCACAAATCGTGCCTGACTAATCTTGTGGCTTTCTTCAATGGAGTGACTGCATCATTGGACAAGGGAAGAGCAACAGATGTTATCTACCTAGACTTCTGTAAGGCCTTTAATGGGGTCCCCCACAACTTTCTTGCTCCTAAATTGGAGAGATATGGGTTTAACAGCTGGACTATTCAATGGGTAAGGAACTGGCTGGATGGCCGCATCCAAAGAGTTACAGTCAACGGCTCTATATCCAAGCAGAAATCAGTAACAGGTGGTGTCCCTCAAGGGTCCTTACTGGAACCAATACTATTTAATATCTTCATCAATGACAGTGAGATTGAGGGCACCCTTAGCAAGCTTGGGGATGACACCAAGCTGAGTTGTGTTTAGCAGTTGATATGCTAGAGGGAAGGGAGGCCATCTAGCAGGACCATGATATGAGTCAGCAATGTGCGCTTGCGGCCCGGAAAGCCATATTGTATCCTGGGCTGCATCAAAAGAAGCATGGCCAGCAGGTCAAGAGAGGTGATTCTCCCCCTCTGCTCTACTCTACTCCACCCCACCTGGAGTCCTGCATCCAGCTCTGGGGTGCCCAGTACAAGACAGACATGGACCTGTTGGAGCAGGTCCAGAGGAGGGCGACAAAAATGATGAGAGAGCTGGAACCCCTCTCCTATGAAGAAAGGCTGAGACAGTTGGCGTGGTTTGGCCTGGAGAAGAGAAGGTTCTGGGGAGACCTTATTGTGGCCTTTCTATATATAAAGGGGATCATAAGACAGACAGAAAGAGACTTTTTACCAGGGCCTGTAGTGACAGGACAAGGGGCAACAGTTTTAAAGTGAAAGAGGGTAGACTTAGATTAAATATAAGGAAGAAATTCTTCACTCTGAGGGTGGTGAGGCACTGGAACAGGTTGCCCAGAGAAGCTGTGGATGCCTCAACCCTGGAAGTGTTCAAAGTCTGGTGGGATGGGGCTTTGAGCAACCTGATCCAGTGAAAGATGTCCCTGCCCATGGCAGGGGGGGTGGACTAGATGAACTTCAAAGGTCCCTTCCAACCCAAACCATTCTATGATTCTATGATTTTTAGGACCAGTTATGTAAACAGTCAAGTAAATGTTCAGCACTGACTATTTACTTTCCCTCCCCCCAACAGAAAAAGATCTTTCTTGCAAGTTAACCAAATTTACTGATACAACTGGAAACAGCTGAGCACAAGAAGTCACACCTAGTATCAGAAGGGTGTTCACTTCAAACCCACAGATTGATCTTACTTGGGTTACCTTCCCTTCAACCCTTCTGCTGTAGCAAGTGAAAGTCTACTCTAAATCCATGCTAGAAAAGGTAACAGCTACAACACCAACCATCTTAGTATTTTTTCTACTTGCTTGCTCAGAATTGAGGAAAAAAAAAAATTGGAATTTTTCCTTTCAGGTTTCAAGCATTACCTGTACCAGGAATGATCTGTGTCGGCATAAGATTCTCTGGTTCATGAGACTGACCCTTTGCACACTTCAGCCATGAGAAGACTTCCTCATCACCAATCTCCTCTGTCTCTGGAATAAAGACACAAAAAAAGTAAAATTTTGTACAAAAGTCACTAAAACTTTACAATACAGAATGTTTCTGCATCGATATTTTTTCTTTAGATTCTTCACAGTGCAGGAGATTAACCTGGTGATCTCAGAAATAAATTATAAATACAGACCATTAGAACAGGATCTACAGCAACTTCTTTGCCTCTTCAGATTATACAGCTACCACAGTCATTTTCCCTTTACCTCTAGCAGCTTGTTATTTTCAATCACCTAAAAATCTTGTCTTCTAGCCTCAGTTTTTGAATATCACACTCCTGTTCTCATTATGCTTTCCTAAGTTATAGAGTAATTCTGTCTTTTCTTGTCATCATCTCCTAAGCTTTTTCAACAAAAAGTTATCTGCAGATCAGTTCCAGGAAGAAGAAACTAAGCTCTCTTGTCAGTGTATCTACTTACAAAGCTAACAAGTAGCAAATTAATAGTTTGAATAGTCTGACAAACTTTTAATTCTTCAGATTTTAAACCAAGTTGGGCCTACAAATATGTAGCTGCATAAGCTGCATGCCATTGTCTTCCTTTAAAAAGGAAGGTGGGGGGGGAAGGGTGAATGGGGTAGGATATGAGAAGGATCATATAAAACTTCATTTCATGGTCCTTTAGACCCGGTATCTGCATAGGTTATTTCTACAGCACAAAGTTTAGAAGCCTCTTGAGGCAAGTAATTGTATTTAAGTAATGCCTTGGTTCTACATTTTGGCTCATTCCAAAATTTCAGACTTGATCAATAATCCACAATTACAATACTGTTTTCAGAAAACATCATTGATAAGCAATATATATGTATACACCACCGCCCCACACACTATCATTTGACATTGTAAAATATCAGTCTGTTCAACACTGACCCTCCTCTGTACACCAGTGAGTAAAAGCTTCTCATATGCCCTGGACATCTCTTCATTTTAACCCGGCACGGGTAAGGTAATCGTATTTATTTGCTTGATGTGAGAAGAAAAGGGGTTAAGAGACTATTGCCCTTGAATCATGGACAGCTTTATGCCACATTCCGTCAGTGATATGTTCAGTCCCAAATGCTTTTTTCCAAACATGTACAGCGCCAGATACAAGAAACCCTATTCTACTTACTTTCAACTATTTCCACTGTACCCAGGTTAACCACGTCTTAAAGATTGTTATGCTCTCTTCTGGTGTATTCTGGCAGTAATTTCATAGGCTTCATTATTATACTGGATCTGGCTGGGATGGAGTTAATTTTACTCATAGCAACTCACGTGGTGCTGTGTTTTAGACTTGTGACCAAAACAATTCTGATAACACACCAATGTTTTAGCTATTGCTGAACAGTGTTTGTACAGCGTCCAGGTCTTTTCTGTTTCTCACTCTACCCACCCCACCAGGGAATAGTCTGGGGGTGCACAAGAGGTTGGGAGGGAACACCACCAGGCGGATGACCCAAACTAAGCAAAGGGGCGTTCTGTGCCGTACAATGTCACACTCAGTCATAAAAACAGAGAGGAGGGAGTTTAAGGGGACTAGCCATCTTTTGCTTGGGGAACTGCTGGGCAATGGTCTACCCATGGGAGGTGGTGAGTGATTGCCTTTGCATCAACTTGCTTTGTTTTGTCTTCTTTCTCTTTTTGTATTTCTCCTTCAATTATTAAACAATTTTTATCTTGACCCACAAATTTTCTCGCTTTTACTCTTCCTTTCCTTTTTCCCCAGTCCCATTGTCGTGGGGGAGTGAGCAAGTAGTGGAGTGGTGCTTAGCTGCCTACTGAGGTTACGCCACAACAATGATATAAAAATAGGTGACTTTTTATCTATTTCAAAAAGCTATTGCTTTTATAATTCATTCAGTGTTCTCTGGCACCTTTATCATATTGAATAGACAGCAGTACTCACACTTATGAACATCCAGCATTTTGTACATCTGCTCCATGTAATAACGTGACTGTCACTAAGAGCCTTACACTTAAGATTGTCCATTGTCAGCACCCACACTACCAAAGCAGTCTCAATACAGTAAAATACACAAAAATACAACCAGGTATTCACTTTTGTAAACATAGTGTGCCTCTATTTGTTAGAAAATGAACTTACTGAACTTTTTCCTGAATTATAAACCCTAGTGCATCAAGGAATCAAAGAAAGAAGAAAACTTTCCAATCTAACTCCTTGTTACAGAAAGGAGCTCTCTGCAATGTCTGCTTACTAGTTCACCTTGTGATGGTTCCGAACTGTTAAGATATTACTTAATTTTCTTTTATACTTTCTGAGGAAAAGATGGAACTATACAGTAGTCTGTCTCAGTACATAGCCTATGCCTGCTGACGTTATAATATTAATATACAAATTCTAACCAACTAGATAAAACAGAGGTATCTAAGGAAACAAAGAATGGAACAGCAGCATATAAGACAGTAGTGCCAAAATTCCAAACCTCCAGCCTCCCAAGATGATACTCACTAACTCTCCCAGAAAACCTTCAGCAACTTCCCAGAAACTATCCCCACTGAAAGCCAGCCAGTTCAACGATTACAGTGGGGGGAAAAAAATTCCAGTACTCACCGCTACGTGGACGGCTCTTCCTCAGCCGGTAACAGTCCAGGCAGACCCCAAAACCACACTTGCGACAAACCCAATGAATATTGAAGAGTGTTGTCTCACATACATCACACATTTCCCTCACGCCACGTACTGCTCGCTTCCATGCCACTTTCTCTATAAAGAGAAGAAACATTAGGAATTATTGCTTTTATATTTTGTATTTCTCCCACCGAATCTGAGAATATCACAGTTAACATTGATAAAGAAAACAATTCACAGAAACATGACTTGAGGACAGAGTATTGAAACACATACTTTTTACATTCAGAGATACATTCTTTGAGTTGCTAGTCTTGTGACACTATTAAAAATCCCCATTTCTAAGAGTGGGTAAGGTCAAGTCCCAAAATGCACACACTACAGAGAAATGGAGGACCTTACAGAGTTCTGCAGTAACTGAATTTCAAGGAGCACTTATGGAACTTACAGCAAAAGTATAAAACTTCTGCTAGTTTTATGAACAAATAATGTGAACTTATAATACTATAAAGAATATGTATTTAGTTTTACTAATCGGATGCCTGTCAACTCTTTGGATTCTAAACCAACACATTTGCTAAGGAAGGGGAAGTCCTCTCCAAATGGCTGCCCCTGAACATTCCAGAAGCTAAAGGGAAAAATCAGATAGTCAGAGCTATCCATGTGATACGCTGGATACCTTTAGAAAATTTTTTCTAAACCCACTCCCCTTGTAGTGGCAACGCTGCCAACTAGTCGCTCAGCTGAGTCCTTGCAGGTTGAACACAGGTGCTGCTCCCTCCCTGGAAAACCCTGTGCTTTTATGTCACGTCCCTGGAGCGTAACAGGATAGGAATACGTAAGAAAAGCTGCTCATTAAAGCGTAGCTGGCCAGTGCGATAAGTGTTCTGAACTTATTTCTATTTTCTTAGGAGCATGGGTCAGCTGATTTCTGCATTTATTTATTGAAAAATAATTTAAGATGTCTGGGAAAGTTACTGTTAGCTTCCTTGGTAGTAATGTCGCACTGATCCAAAAGAAAAATCCCCAATGCTGGTCCCACAATTACACCCCCCCCCCCCCCCCCCCAAAAAAGTGAATATAGCCTTCTCTTTGGAAGAAAAGGAGAAGCATTTTGACAACAAATTATATTATACTTTCAACTCTATTCCACTGCATCGTACACACATTACACAGAGAAGATGGACAAAAAACACGTCAAAAGCCCAGCTTACGATGTGGCTCCACCATCATCATTGCCTCCTTCTCTGACATAACAAGCTGGCAGAACTGGTCCCCAACATTGGCCAGGATATATTTGGAAGTTTCCAGATCGATCCCCTCTGCAGGGGAGGAGGAAGGAATCCATAGGCTCATGGCATCAGGGTCACTCTGTTGTGGGTTCAAGAAACCCTCGACTCGTAGAATACCTTTCCGGGTAAATATTAGCCTGCAGAAAACAGAATGGAGCAACTGAGAAGCTGCTTAGCCACCTTTAATTAACTTATAATGCCATCTGTGTCAGAACATAAACACAGAAAGAGGAAAAAAGGCTTGAGCTAGAGTGCTATACTCCACAGCCAGTACAATTATTATGCAAATCCAAATAACACAGAGAATAAGGTACACGAAAGCAATGGCTACAAAACCCACTAGAATGAATCCCCAGGTCCCAGTAAGCGCTGGTGGGAAATTCCACATACAGGAAATGCCTACAGCTTGGTAAGTCACATTTCTCTATACTATTAATAGAAAGAGATAACAAAATTCAATTTATTTGGGCTGCTGCATGATGCTGCTTGTAAAATTGTGCATGGTTCTCACTCTACTTTAACTCAGGAGAAAGTTATTTCCCAACTTTTGGGAAACCAGTATTTTCAGTCCTGGCTAGGGCCACTAGCACTTGGCAACTGTTCTAGCAGTTCACATTACAAGACATACAAAAATCCTTATCATATCTACTATTCTTGCCACTGCTCTCCACAAAGACGAGTCACAACTGCTTTATCAGTAGCTGTTGACCCTCCTAGTCTTTGTATGGTAAAGGATATAACAACATAAGTTACAGAACCCTGAACATCTCCTGCCAATACTAAAGGTAACTCCATTTTCAGGCAAAAACAATCTTGTCTTTAATCTCAATGCTAGATTAATTTTTAACAAGTTCAGGAAGAGAAGCAGCTATAATCCTTACTGGATAGGTGGCACATACTAAAAATTCAGTTCATCCTTTATATGCCAGAAAGTGAACGAACATCTTTTTGGGTGCTATTCTAGCACTTGCTAGAATAGGCAGTTAAGGAAGATGAAGAGAAGCGTGACAAGTCAAAGAACGGTAAGATGGGTACACGACAGAGAAAAAACACAGGTAGTGTTCTACTCCTAAAAATCAGTTCTGTACTCAATAAAACCTAGTCAAACATTATCCTCATGCTGGCAATGTTTAGTTACTTGTTAACCAAATTAATTTTTTTTTTCCTCTGTTCTGAACTCCTTATGAAAGAGGAAGAGAACAGTTATTACATACAAACTGCTACCCAACAGTAAAATTCTACCCAATAAAGCAAATTCAATCCCCTGAGGCTGGACCTGGAGGCTCACTTAGTATCATATAGCTGTATCTTCCAACAGCAGCTCTTCCCGCCCCAGTGAGGGAATTCCAGTCAGGTGACGCAGGGAAATGCAAGACACTCAAAATCTTCATTATTGTACCCCAAGCATATTAAATAAGTAAAACATATTACTTTGTGCTTGGACATGGTCCAAGCTCTGCACATAGACTATATATGAAGGAAGGAAGAATTTGAGCACCTCCGGAAATGGAAGAAGCGACACGCCACAGTTGAGTCATCCTGCTCTTGCTCCTTAAATTTGCGGTACCGCTCCAGACGGCACTCCCGGCACTTGTGCAGATGTGGAGCTACATTGATGCAAGAGCCATCCTGGAGAAAAGGCTCACCTGACTGCTTCAGCTTCCTCACCTTACTCATATCTTTCAGCACAGATTGGCCAACTGAGTGAGGCAAAGTAGAAGTAAAAATCCATTAGTTAACCGCAACAGCAAACCCACGTAAAACCAGTACGACTGTTCAAGTCTGCAGCATACCACACTCTTGTCCTGACAAATATCTGCTTAAACGTTTCTCAAACTGAACACGTTAATTCACATACAAGGCTAAAGCTTAATGCTTCTTGTAAATATCCTGTGTGCTGCCTACTGAGCATAAATGAGGTTTACACCTGTGGTTAGAGGAGATATCCCAGTATCCCACATCCTTGTGCTTCCAAGACACCCTGCATTCAAGTCATCACCTTTTAGGGGAGCTGTGCGAGGCCGGCCCTTTGGGGCTTGCTTCCCTTTTCCTTTCCCCAGCAGCAATTCAGCATTGCGCTCTGCATTGGGGCCTAACTTTGCCATCAAGTGGTCTGGGATTCCCTTCATACAAGCCTTGGCCTGCAACTGGTCTTCAGAGTCACTCAAATCTGACAGGTCACTATTGGTACTGGAGTCCGAGTCCTGTTTGGATGTCAAGCTCCGCTCATCTAGAGAGAACCTTTTCACAGCTTCAAAAGGGGCTTTGTTCTCCTGTGGAAACTCTGCCTGTGAAGAGAAAAAGCCAGGTGGATGCCTTCCAAACACATTAGAAAAAGTTTTCAGAAGAGGATTGTCCTGCTGGCCAGGCCCAACAGCTGGTTTTTCTTCTGTTGGGCTGGAGGAGAGCGTGGGCATCTCAATAGGCTGTGTCAGGTTGCTGGTCGGTGAGCTGGAACGGCCATTCCCTACAGTGGAAGGGCTCTGAACACCAGCAGCAACTGTTGAACCAGGAGTACTGGAGATCATCTTTGAGGAGTCAGTTGTTATAAACAAGGTTTTCTTCTTAGCTAGAGAAGAGTCTGTAGAGGTGAGTGATTCCGGCCAGCCAGAAGTGGCCTTATGACCCACAGGTGTAGAGGGAGTAGAAACCCCTGTCTGAGATGAAGATGCAAAGCCACTGAAAGGACTAAGTTCTGCTTTCTCAGCAAATGCCAGGAAAGGGTTTGAGGGTTCCTCTCTTGATAGCTTTGGGGGCTGTAAAAATAGGTTTTCATGACTATCTGGGGGGCGAGTATTCAACAGACTTCGTGAAAAGGCTGGAGTGAGGGTAGGCATAGATTCCACAGGCAGCTTCCGCTCCACAGAACTGCCAGACTGGGCTCCTGGTTTAGTGTCCGCTGAAAGCATTTTACCTTTACAGATCCCAGCACCCACACTCTCTGTACACTGCTTGAATGAGTCCCGACTAGAGGCATCTTCATTCAAGCTCTCCGAAATGACTGTGAAGTAGTTACTGGAAGGTAGATTTTGGGACATGCATTGAAAAAACAAGTTCTTGGACAGGTCAGAATCTTTCTGAGCCTCTTGTCCAGTACTACAGCCAAAAGGAAATCCAGAAGGCTTGCTTTCTGGAGTCACCACTCCATTTGATTGGCTCCTTCCACCCCCAAATACCAAGGACTGGGAAGCACTTGGGAGAGAGACTCCAAATCCAGAAGAAGCCAAAAGTGAATTTCGGGAACTCTGAAACAAAATTAAAAAGCATTAGCCTATTAAAGGATTCTTGTTTGATTCAGCAATACTTTGGTTCATCTAACTGTACAATTAGCATTCTACTTATCCACCTGTAATAGAAACTTCCAGCAGAATTATTTACAATGAAGAAAGTTCTTTAAAGATTCTGCTAGACTAATTTTTCCTACCTAGAAGCTAATGAAACTAATGAGCTAACAGTGTCTGTTACATACTGAAGACACACGGAGGAAATGAACACTTAATGTCTTATCAGGCTTCAGAACAAAAGTGAGACGCAAGATAAGGTGAACTAATCCACGGAAAAGCAAGTTATTTAAACTGCTGATTGTTTCAATGCAAATCAGCAAGAAGAGAACCTTAATTGAAACTGCCTTGCAATAATCTCCCGCCTTTCACCCTCCCCCAAGATCATCCTGACAAGCTTCTCCTACTTAACCAGCACTCTTGAAATAATTAACTCAGTTTGCAAAGTTAATTAAACAAAGAAAGCCCTCTAGCAATTAGTGAACAAACCGTTCTTGGTCACAGCAAGCCACGTCTGCTGACAGGCAGGTGGATGCCTGTGAAGTGGTGCCTTCAAGGGAATTACTCAATAGAGGTTAAGCACAAAGGGCTTAATTTTGATGATCTTCAAATACTGGGAAGTTTTCTAACTTGCAGATTTCTACTAGACCCATAACTGTGATACGGAATATTCACTTACTCTCTTCTCAATTTATACTTATTCGGATTTTCCAATTCTAACAGTCCTACTGTAACTGATTATATTCTGCGACAAACTCATCAGTTCTACTCCTTTTCTTTGAGTTTCAACTTAGAAACCTTCTCATGAGGAATACTCATGATTAATACACTTTTATTCCAAGGCCATGTTAAATAAAACCACAGCCTCTGCGCAACACATCTTACTGGTCGTTAGTGTCACTGCACACCTACTACACTGCAAATTAATGTTTAGCTTGTTCCACGTTATCAACCTCCAGCTGTAATAACTTTAATAACATATTAATGTCCCCCATGACAGTTCTTCCAGATATTAGAATTTCAGATATTTTTTTTTCAGAGCCAAAGTAATTTTCACAAACTGCGTTCTAACAGTTTTAAAAAGCATATGAATATGAATGCGAACCAAGCTTATTAAGTAATCTCAAGGACCAAATCGCTCTATGATAAAGTGGACAGCCTGAAGCAACAACACATGTGAACTATCTACAACACTTACTAATTTATGTAAGGTTCCCTCCCTGATGGAAAATACAGTTTGAAATGGACTAGGGGTCTACCTGCAAATTCTGAAGCCAGATTATTAATAATGATTTAAAACAAGTGATTTGGGGTTGGGGAGAGGGAGGGAAGGAGATGTGGTACCAAAACTTCCCAGCACAATTAGAAGTTATTCCTTAATGCCACTGACGGTAGATACAATTTTGGCTGTTCACCTACACAATTTGTAGCTGCTACCAACTCTGAACTTTTTTCTTCCCCCCCTTTTTTTTTTTTTTTTTTTTTGGCAGGGGTGGGGTGGAAGAGAGAGCAGGTTATATTGTTATACAACAATTTCATTACGTAACACTCCTGTCTCCTACAACTCCATTTCTCCTTTACACCCTACCATCTAGGAATCTTTATCCCAGGGTAAACATCTTGCCTTTCCCCACCCCGTTCCATTAGCTAATACAGAAGACACAGATAAAAGTAATCCATTTAACCTCCTGGCAATCACCTTGGACTCTCTAATGTATCTCCCATTTTCTTCACTTTTTTATACAGTAGACTACAGGTTTCTTAATTTTTGCTCTACTTATTGAGGTGGGGTTTTGTTTTTATAAGCCTTCATTTGATTACCTAAAAAGTCTTCTATTTTGTTTTTAACAGGGTTTCCCTTCTACTCTTCCACTTTTCCCCTTGCAAACAAAGAAACAACTAAAAGGTCTTCGAGCTGCTTCCAGACTGAGCTCTTTATTAAAATTTATTCTAAAAAGGTACCCATCTTAAATGTTTTAATTATTTCCTTGTATTCAGCCCTAGATAATATATGATGCAACTGGCTCATTTTTCTACTACGGAGATATCATAGCTGTAAAAGACAAGCTAGGCATCTATAAAAGGTCTTTTAAATGAAGCCTTATTGTTTTTCTGGTTTTGAGGCTTTTTTTTTTTAAAGTAACTTAAATGTTCAACTCAGTGCACACTCATGCGTATTTGTTTATATACAGGCAAGAGATATTAAGTAGGTTATCTTCCACACGACACAACAAAATTAATGATATTAAGTGCAGTGCTTAAAGCGACTTTAAGGCTGCATTTCTCAGATTAAGGCTGAATACAGATAAGAGTGCTAAAAAGTTGTCTCTTACAACTCCTCCACCAAATATCTTCCTTTGCTTTTGAGGTCTTTCTTAGACAATAGAAAGGTTTCCTTTGGGAGGGATTCATCAGAGAAAAAGTAGTTTTCTCAATTCCATGGGCACACTTTATAACAGGAATATGTTGCAGAACATCCGTTGCAAATATGTATGTCTTGAATATGCTGGATCATGAGCTACTCACCTCTCCCTGGGCTTGTGATCGGCCTGTTTTCAGTTTCTCCTGTCCCGTAACAGCCGGCAAACTGGTATCAGAGATTCTCACAGTTGTCGGTGTCAAAGCAGTTGTAGTAACTGCAGTTGCAGAAGTCACTGCGCCTTGGCCAACCTGTTCCAGTGATTTTCCTGCCTCTTTACATCCAGATCCCACTAGTAACGTTTGCCCAGCCACAGAGGGAAATGGAGTGAAGGGCAATGGTGTGTCACCACCAACTGGCTCATCTTGGACTACTAGTGTTCGGCCATTCTCTTTGGTGTAAGTGGCAAAACGAATATTGCGATTAATCTGAGGAATGAATGAAGGCAACTGTTTGGCCCTTGGATCCAGTCCTGTTTCGCTATTGGAGCCTCCTTTCCAAGGACCTCTGCTTGCCTCACCTCCATCGCTACCATTGCTATCCACCTCACCCCTCTCCTTTAGCTTCTTTGTTGCAGGATCACACCCAGAATCTGAAGCGTTTTTCCTCCTCCGTCCATCCTTTCCCTCCAGACTTTCTTTCTTCTTTTTCCCTTTAGATGATTTAGCTGCTTTTAGGCCCCCTCCCTATAATAAACAAAACCATGCAATCACTAAACAGAACAATCAGGAATACCTGTTCAAATAACATTCTCCTGTTAGAACGAAGAATATATTACACTGCTCTTAAGCTTAGGAACAGTTCTTTTAACCACAAATTGAGACATCGAAGGAAAGATAGTATGTGAACACAGAACACAAGCATAAGTGCAGTCTTGTCTTTTTTGTACTAGGGTAGGATCGTCACAATAAGACCTTCAGCTGAGCTACTTTGCTGTAGCACATACCACATCATGGCAGATTCTGAGAAACATGCAGCATGGCCATACTCCAACACAGTTCTTGCTAATGTGTGAAAACTATTTGCACACTAATTTTTGCTACAAGTCTAATTCCCACAGTTCTTCTGAAGGGCACACTTTCTGTTCACTACCCAAAGCCTGCAATATTTAACTACAGAAGATAGCTTGCCCTTTACAGAAGGTAAAAACACAGGTTCAAATGTTATCATGGAACCTCTCAGCTGAAGCAAAGAAATGCCACAAGCATAAAAGCCTGCTTCAGAGAAGCCAGATAGTAATTTTTAGAAATGCCTAAAAAGGTCTGTGAAGGAGCAGAGTGATCCCGTTAGAAAAAGGCAGTGAGCACAGAGACATTCTTTATCAGAGCACTACCTTTTAAAATGGAGCACAACCACCATGTTTATTGAACCCCCCGCCCCAAGATCCATGCTGAACTTAGAAAAACAGGCCTGAACAAAAAGAAAACAGATTGTTTAAAGAAAGCTATGACCATCTCTCGAAGTGGTAAAGAAAATTTTCCTCTTCCAATTACATAATCAAAAGCCCACAGTGAACACAGCATCAGTTTTCAGTTGTTTCCATGTTTTAGATGTTTTATATCTAAATCTTTATGAAGTTTCATACTATATATACAAGACCTGAATTCTTGTAGTACCTCGCTTGGAGAAGTGTTATCCATCACCACATGAATCAGTCGAGGATCCACCGACTTTATTTCACCACTCTGATTTTTATGCAGATTGATATTGAGGAGGTAGGAGGAAGAAGAGAGGAGGTTAGTTTTTAATTCAGAGTATATAGTATCAACACAAGAGACCTTAAACACAGGGTTACTCTGCAGCCCCTCTCCCATTTGCCTTTTCTTTCTGTCCTGCTTCCTTAGTAATATTACAGCCTTCCAGTTTACCTTTTATCCTTTTGCTCCTCCTCTATTTCAGAAACTTTCATATTTGATTCCTACCGCTGTTTCCTTGTGCATTTGTTCTACTGAGCATCTCTAGAGGCATTCATTGCATTAAATACAGCTCTTAAATTTGCTTTAGTACTGTTCTAGCCTTCTGCACATTCACTCTGTTAGATGTAGAAGTGATATGCTTCCTTCCAGTAGTCTATTCCTGCTAACTATCCTCATCAGCGTCTCCCCAACAGGAGCAACGAATACCCAATCTCTGCCACTGTCCTTGGAGGTTACCTTTTTATTTCACAGTAGATACACAGAGTTGGGTGCTTCCTGGCATGCATCTGCTGAAAGCACATACTCCAGAATTTCAATGCCTCTCCAAAGTACTATACTTATTTACCATACATAATATACTTTTTTCCTGTGCACCAGCAATAGATCTAGTAGTCAAGAGCGCAGGATTACTGCGTGTGTACACAGGACTTACTGGGCACGTTCAGTGCATTCATTCTGCACATGGAAAAGGCTACAGGGGCAGGGGCCATGGGACGGGACCCAAAAAAACTGAGAAGAATGCTGCTGCTACAGTAATTTACACACAGCACCACAGACCTGTTCCTAGTTGCTCCTGAAAAAAAGGAAGCCTGTAGGAGCAGGCTGCTGGTAAGACTGAACTACCTGTCAGACGCATAGAGGCATATAATACAAACCAGAAAACTCTAGCAGGGCACAGATTTTCTGTGCTGTTTACAACACTTACTAGGTTTACAGATAGGAACAGGGCAAAAATAAACAGCCTAAGCTAAAATACATCAATCAGTTATGTTTAGACTAAGACTTCATCTTCTAGGCTACACTTGTTTCAAACCACTTGTACAGCCTGTCAGACAGAAGCTGAGAGAAGGCATAGGAAGACCACAGCATAACAGACCCAGAAGGCAGCTTTCTGTACATCAGCACGCTCCCCCATCCAGAAAGCCCGTTCCAATATTTTTTCATATAGCACTTATTTCCCAAGAAATTCTTATAGCTTCTTTTATAGAAGTGGGCTGTGTATCATCATTTATTGTGGGAAGTCATCATAACAGAAAAAAAAAAAATTCTGCAAATTGCAACATGGATAATTACTCATCTTTTAAAGCAAAAAAACAAAGAACCATAAGTACAAGTTTTGGTGAAGCTGTCATTCTCCACAAGATATTGAGGAATAGTATTTTAGGAACACTAAAGCAGTGCTTCATATTTTTACCTCAGTCACAGACACCTCCATAAGACGAGTTATTGGGTCTTGATGGCTCACAACACCAGAGAGCCAGCTATTTTCATCCTCTGGTTGGTAAACCTTAACTCTTTGGCCCTGGACACTGTAAGGACCTGGAAAAGAAGGACTTTGAGTACATTTACCAAACAGGCTTTGTGTCATACTAATTAAGAGTCATACAATAAAGAGTTCTGTGCAGATAATTAGGGCTTGAAGTGTCATCTTTCAGCTGGAAAGAAATTAAAACGCTAGGGCTTCTGCTGCAAATCCTGCATAAGCCACGCATTCTATTGTAAAAAGTCAGTAAGCCCTCATTGCTGTAACTCAAAACTATTGTAAAGACAAAATTAATGCAGTTTACAAGTTAAAAAAAAATGCAAAAGATCAAAATAAACTCAGTAAAATCAAGCTAGATGGGGGCTCCTTGCTAACGAACCTCTTTTGCTTTCTAACCTACAGGTCAGTAATTACTAAGCATCAATCCAGTGGACAGTCAGCATTCTGGCTCAGTCCAGATGCATCAAATCCCAGTATAAACTGCATGTAGTTCAGAATAGAAACCTATATCTGTAACTGTGGAAAATGTAATAGAATTGCACGAATATCCAACATCTCTAAACCAACCAGTCTTAGTTCTTTGACACGGGTAACAGATCATCTACAGATAGGTTTCCTCCGACCCTGCCCTCACTCTCCGCATCAGCATGCGGAGCTTTCCTCCTGCCCTAAGTCCAGACGACAAAAACTTCGTTAGTATTAGATCATCAAAATCCACATGATCCAACAGCCTGTGTCTGATACAACCAGAATGAGGCTTCAGAAGAAGGCTCCAAACTGGACAATTCTGAAGCTACTTGCTCTTGTAAGAAGTATTGTCCTCATAGCATTTTTAGCAACAAACATTTTATTTAACGAAAAGGCACCAAATCCCCATTAAGAATTACATCGTCCTTCAAATATAATAGTGGCCTACATCTAGGGTGGCCACCTGGCCCATGAACCCAAACTCTGGGTAGAAAATCGTTTTAGCACTTGAACTAGAATCTGACAACAAAAGCTGCAATCAGGATTAACCCTAATACACAACCCACAAACAGTTAAGGTATTAACTCTAGGCTGAGCAGCCATGGCCACACCATATTTTCAACTTAAACAATTCATGTATTAATTATCAAAATGCCAAAATTTGAATTTGACATAACAAAAGAAATTTTTTAAAGATCAACAACTACAGTGTAACTTCACTTCTAATTTCCAGAATTATAGAACAGATCCATAGAATAGGATCAAAACTTTAAAAATTCAAAACTAGAAGTTAAAATAAGGGAAGTTGTAAATACATGGACATTATCAAGAATACGTCGTCCTGCTTTAACTACATCTTCAGTGGTCATTCCCAGTAGGTATTTCTGGTTGTATCTCAGCAACTGCTTACCTGTATCCGTGACAAAATAATGCTTCTTTGTAAAGAACTTGCAAAACAATACAGAAAATTGACCTTCCAAATCAAACATTAACAGACACTATACTATTCTCCTTCACAAATCCCAGCATAGTCTAACTGTTCCACCACAAAGCAGCTCTGAGAGAGAAAAACACAGTCTCACCTCTACTAAATATCTCCTGAAGCTTCTGGTCACTGATCAATGCATTGACAGATTCTCTTAGTGACGGCTGTTCCTGCAGAATCTGATTTTGACTCTCTGTTCCCATCTGCCAACAACAAACAGTTTTAACATAAAAGTATAGTCTTTTAAGGTAATAGAATCATTAGTTTTTAAGAGAGAGCTCTTCTTGGACTGCTCTCAGAGACTGACAAACCAAAAAAAAGTAAAACTAAGAAAAACATTGCTGAACATGCCAGGAGGAACAAAAGGACTAGCTATGCAAAAGCTGTTGCAAAACTTCCATTGCAAGTACCAGCTACACGATGCTTGACAGCTAGCTCTCCAACTGACCAATATAGAGAAGAACTAGGACTTTTCGAATGCAGATGGAGGTTAGTGTAAGCACCTGGAAAAGCAGGGGGATAAAATGCAAATACATGACAGGGTGGTGAAAGGAGGAAGACAAGAATATGGAAGTGGAACAGTAAAAGAAAAATTAATCTGACAATCACAGCACAAAGTTAAATTTGCACTTTAACTGAACACAGTTCAAATACCTGAAACAAACGTAATCCACTGGCATCAGACAGGAAACGTAAATGTCTGTCCAGAAGAAACTCCACTGGGACCACAGAGCCTAAACCCAGCTTATCTACTAGAGGAGTGAAGGTCTGTGATGAACAACAAAAAACAAAGGTTATAAAAATGACTGAGCACACATACAGGCCAGCAATGGTTGTTTTCACATGCTAATTAAATATCACAAAGAATAAAAAGTTTCGTTTCTCAACTTGCACCACCCACTGCGTGAGTTTTAATGCAAATTATTACTCATTAGGTCTAAGCCAACAGTTCTTGCAAGTGTGGCATGTAACAAGAAGGAATTACAGAAAATTGGCTCCACTTATTCCATTAGAACTTAAAGCAGAACTGAAAACACTTTTTGTGGTATTTGTTTTTTCATAGGTAAGCACCTTCTGATGCTCAGGTTAAAAAAAAAGCTTTGGTTAATGGTTGAAACTATGCTACATATTTCAGGTATAGCCTCCTGAAAGGAGCATTTTTATTCCCATACAGAAGTCAGGTGTAAGTAATTTATAGGCCTATTAATAAAGGGGGGCATTTTTTACTACTGTTTTGTGCAAAACTGAAGTTCATAACAGGTGTACTATTGTTATTCAAGCTGCAGGACAAGCCACTAAAAATACCTAGCAGAATCAGAATGACAACCTTATAACGTAACTTGCTGATGGCAGAGGAAGTTGCCAACCATTGGAGCCTTTGAAACGTATTATCTGGCTCACGCTCACACTTACATGATTGTAACACACAAGTATTCACGACATTTTTCCCTTAACAGCTCTCATCAAGTTCGTTCACACTCCATACTCCCGTACACAACAGTATGAATATAATAGTTTTACATAAACTGAGAAAATAAATAAGTGACCAGGACTATAAGAAAGAAACAATGAAGGATGAATACACATTCGTAAGTGATATATCCCAAAAAAAACCCCAAAACCCAACACCAACACCCCCCCAAAAAAATACCATTCACTTTGTAATGCTAAGTAGTTGGCTTCTCAGAATTGTCCACATTGCACATATGTACTCTGGTGCTTTGGCTAACTCCAGTCGATATTCCCAGGCAGTTATTTGCGTAGGCCTCTAGTACTTAGTGAAAGCTTGAGTGCTCATGTATGGAACATACATGGTATGGAGCACATGGTATGGAAACATTTTTTCAGCAAGTCTACAGATATATTTTGAGTAATAGTGGAAATACTCTGGAATCTTAGCAGACCCATATTTGCTTCTAACAATCTTCTAACAGGTTCTGACACAACTCATTACATAATCAGTGTGTGGACTATGGTAGCACCCCCAAATCACTCCGATATCAAGATACTTGGGAATCATCTGAAAGAAACTGATCCTGCATAAGCACAGTTTCCCAGATGAAATTAAACTGGAGTTCACTCTTGGAGACAAGTTGGAAACACATTGAAAGGAAAACTCCACCTATGGAAAAACCCACTATATACAGAAGCTCTGCTGTACAGGCCTGGTTTTCTTCTGCCTTAAGACAACTGCAATAAAGAAACCCTCAGAGACAGATGCAGTGCCGAACTTTTTGCTTTGAGCCCAAGTGTCAATTTAAAACACTAAATTCAAATTCTACCAAGGCACAAAGTCCTTGACTGGAAAAAACATTCCAATGTGCCTATGCACAAAATGTAGTATTAAAAAGCAGAGAGTAGGATCCCAAGCAGTCCAAGGACTGCAGGAAGAGAAAAGAAACAAAAGAAGGGCAAAATAATAAAAATTAGACAGCATGAAAATGAGGGTAGGATTCTCGCATATAATGCAGAAGCCACTAAGAGAAGAAAGAAGGATGCAAGGAATGCTCTTCACTATATACTACTCATCAACATGTTTGCAGAATGCATATACTCAGATATGCCAGCTAAAACATATTGGCTTTGGTCTCAAGTGTCATGACATGTAACTGCCATGTAAACAGCAATATGGATAACCACTTCAAGAAACAGGAGAAAATTTTGCACGTCACGTTAGTTAATGCTGAAAACAACACTGAAATAAAATTTTATTTTAGATTAGGAGTGGTCAACTTATGACTTATAGGTCAGGCACAGCCCACAATCTATTCTCTTCCCCAAAGTGCCTTCAGGAATACCTGTTAAAATGATGTAGCAACCTTTACCATACAGAGCTCTAGAGAGTCCATAATAAGACCAAAAGACTTATTCGCACAATTCAGAAAAGCCTAACACACTCAAAGTTCTAAAATAGGGAAAAGTAATCTTTTCAGATATGTATCACATTTCTTCAGAGACCCACTGGTAAACAACATCTCATTTCTGTGAGCTTTCAGTTTCCAGGGCAGGAACTGGAAGCATACTGCCTCTCCTACGCCTTTCCAAAGGCACTATAATTCCCAGTTAACTGCTCTCCTATTTACCATTTTAAAAAAATCCATCCCCAAGCAATTTTTGGTACCTGCATAATGACGCCCTGTACGATATCCAAGCCTTGTGTTTCACAGCAGAGTTGATGCAGACCTCTGAGGATATGAGAGTTTTGGCCAAATACTCACCAGTGCAGGCCACTGTGCCAGCGAGACTCGAGTCCCCTGAAGCATCACTGGATCATTTCGAGGTGCCCAAACCAACGATCCTTCCAGCAACAACACTATAACTTCTTCAGCATGGACTTTCACCCAGGCATGTTGCTTCCAGTTACAGCCATCGAATTCCACAAAGATCTGCCAAAAATAAAAATTCAGAAGGTATTTCAGCTCTTTTCAGACACTGAATAGAAAAACAATAGATTCCTACAATCGCTATGGATAAGGAGACAGCAGCTTTAGTCAGAAAAATCAGGTTAAGTATTGTAATAACAACACTGAGAACATCACATCTACGTAGCTATCAAACATTACAAAGGAAACGGGACTCTCATTCACAGCAATTACTAAACCTATGAAAAATGATTTAATCCCAAACACACACCACTGGCTCCAAATGCTGCATTTCCCCATACAAAATTAAAGATGTGAAAACTGTTCATCCCAAAATACAACTGATGATCCAATGCAAGTCTCTTACACATTGGGATTTTTTTAGAGAATTTAGACACTCTTACTTGGCACTTCAGCAGACGGCCTGTATCAGTATGGTTAACTGACATTCACAGAATTAAATCCTTCAGCCAGGAAAGTTTGTGTTTGTGAAATCCACTCTAAATCAGAAGGTTTGTGTTGCCTTGTACCTTATTAAACTCCCTGAACCACATGTAAATATTTTGGATGGCATGAGATTATCCAGAAAGATCTACTCACTAGATTTTTCATTACCTTGTTTACAAGTGTGACAATATAAACCACACTACAATTCTAAATCACTGTTCTGAGATATCATCCTCTTTTTTCTACCACAAAGGACAAATGTTAAAGCCATATGAAATTACATGACAAGAATGCTAAGAACAGGAACGTGGGCTACAAGTCTCATTCCACATCCTAACAACTAGGGCTATTAAACGTTAAAGCACAGTCACATTCCAATCTTTCATCTACAGAACTTACATACTGCACAAATATAATCAAATATGTCAGATGAACAGCAAGAAATTCTTAATCAGTTAAGAAACACCTTAAGCTAGACAGTCAAAACAGAGTTTTGTAATAACTACAAGATCATTGAGGGTAACAGAGCACTAACCGGAGACAGCCAGCTCTCTGCTTTACCAGTAATCCTTATTAAAAGGGGTATCAGAGACCACTCATACACTCCTCTTCCCCACTCCTCCCCCCAGACTCAAAAGCTCAAACTCCAAGAGGAGAGGGAGAGAATATGAAGCAACTCTCCTGATGAATTCTTGAACTCCGTAACTGCTTAAGCTGCCCTGCTGAGAAAGATGACTGGACCTTTCAAGATATGCTTCCTTCAATTCAACAAATTTCAGTAATATAGTGGAAATTGGACTGAACACCTTTTTGGTTTTAGTGGGCCTGTACCCTTCTTAATATTATATTTGTGCTACTTTGGCAGTTGAATGTGACATGACGAGAGGACTAGCACATAAGAATAACAAAATGGAATTATTTGTTTATGTGGACAATATTAGTGAGGTCGTCATCTTGTTTCAATTCTCTTATCGTAAAGGTTATATGAAAAAAGGTTGTCAAAAAGAACTATTAGAATAATGCTGACTTTGGAATACATGCCTTTTTGCAAGATATTTAAGAATTTGATGAAAAGAAGGGGAGATTTTATAAGTAACTACACAGACAGGACCTCTCACTAGCACGTCCCCTTAAACTAGCTGGCAAGGATCACTAAAGCCAGACAAATTCAAACAAGCAATAAAGTGCAGTTTACCACTCTGTCCCAAATATATAAGGATACCTATTAGATTTATTTTTAATTTATTACTTCACACAAGACTTAAACAAGTCAATTTACCTTGTGACACACGTGAAGTGAGACTACAAGAAAGTTTCTTCCAGTCTTAACCTATAAGACACCTCACATTTCTATGAACCATTATAAACTGATGAAGTGGAACAGCTGTACTTCTAGCTGCAAATTTAACATGTTACTCCCTGGTTCAAAAAAAAAAAAAACAAAGAAAAGGGAAAAAGAAAAATACTACAAGAAATGGCCTGTGATGAACTTGAAGATGGGTGTTCCACGTTTGTTTAAGAGGCTCACTAAATATTCTGACAGATACTGCATACCCATCATATACAAAGCAGTAGCAATGCCATCCGTAACGTCCTAGCCGATGTTACAGCAGGACCCCTCTCGATCATCTACCAAAGGTCTTGGGAGTCTGGAGAGGTCCCCACTGACTGAAAGCTAGACAACGTTATTCCAATTTACAACACGGGCATGAGGGAAGACCAAGGGAACTACTGACCTGTTAGTCTAACCTCACTATCTGGAAAAATTACAAAAATCACACAGGGTGCTACTGAAAGACATTTAAAGGACAACGCAATCATCAGGCACAGTCAACGTGGGTTCACAAAGGAAAAGTCCTCTTTAATTTAATCTCCTTCTACGACCAGATCACCCACCTAGTGAATGAAGGGAAGGCCGTGGATGTAGTTTTTCTGGATTTTAGGAAGGCTTTAGATAACGTCCCTCACAGCATCCTTCTGGACAAGTTGTCCAACTGGGAGATAAACTAGAAACCTCCAGTTCAGGTCCTAGCAATAACTAAGACAGCAGCAACAGATTACTACCACATCCTCTTATTTGGCACCTTCTTTTTTTCCAGTCCATGTCTGAGAGGAGTTTTAGTAGCTGATGTCTCAGTAATGGGCTGGATGCTCAAGTAACAAAAATGCATTGCTTTTGACTATCTAGTACCATCTATCCTGCTGGATTCTGCCCCTGGGAAGGAGTAATGCCTCACACAAGTATACAGTAGGAGAGGGGTGGCTGGAGGGCAGCCCTGCAGAATGGGATCCGGGGGTGCTGGTCGGCAGCAGGCTCAACAGGAGCCAGCAGCGTGCCCTGGCAGCCAAGAGGGCAAACCGCATCCTGGGGGGCATCAAACACAGCACAACCAGCCGGTCAAGAGCGGGGATTATCCCGCTGTATTTAGTGTTGGCGCGGCCTCACCTCGAGTACTGTGTGCGGTTCTGGGCCCTACCATCTGAGAAGGATGTGAAGGTCCTCGAATGCATCCAAGAGAGGGCAACAAAGCTGGTGAAGGGCTGGAAGGCATGTCCTGTGAGGAGCAGCTGAGGACTCTGGGTTTGTCTAGTTTGGAGAAAAGGAAGCTGAGGGGCAACCTCATCGCTCTCTGCAGCTTCCCAAGAAGGGGACGTTGAGAGGGAGGTGCTGAGCTCTTCTCCCTGGGATCCAGGGACAGGACGCCTGGGAATGGTTCAAAGCTGCATCAGGGGATGCTCAGACTTGACATTAGGAAGCATTCCTTTACCAAGAGGGTGGTCAATCACTGGAACAGGCTTCCTAGAGAGGTGGTCGATGCCCCATGCCTGTCAGTGTTTAAGAGCATTTGGACAATGCCCTTAATAACATGCTTTAACTAGGTCCCTTCCAACTGAACTATTCTATTCCATCACTTAACTCAGAAAACAGACCTTATCATTTTCCTTTCTAAAATCCCAGACCAACAAACTGGTTCAAAAGGAGAGAAAAAAACTTACAACATTATCATACTAAGATCATCTTTCTCCCCTGCAAAACAGAGAAGTCATGGAAGTTTTGTTTTACACGCTTTACGTTCAATATTCGATTTTCTTCCATCTTTGTATAATCAGCATAAGCAATAGAGTCCTGCCAAATCTTGACTTACAACCATTAAAAAAAGGTGTTACTAATTCTCAGTTGATACCCAACAGAGCATTTTCCTACACACAGATATGCAGGGCAGCTGTTCCAGGACCATGCAACACCACACATGATATTGTCAGTATTGTCAGTAGTTTCCAACAGATCACACAGCAACAAAAAGGATGAAAGCCTCAATATAAACAGCTATGTTCTCAGTTTCTGTTTCTAGAACGTGGAATAGAAATCACTTTGTGTACTGCGTGTGCAAGAAACAGAAGCTGACGTGCACAGCACACGGAGTGTTTGTGCATATACCACTTGGTATCACTACAGAAAATAACTACAGCATATTCATGAACTGATGCCCAATATGCTTAGATTCTAGGAGAAAAACACTAAGGGAATCCTGAAAGAGATGCCTAACGCAAGGAAAGTAAGGACAGATGAGACAGACTTCAGAGTGAATAAACATATTTCCCTTTGATATTTAAAGAGGCAAACAGAAACATTCTACCTTTGTTGAAAAACCCAGAAGCCTTAAGCAAAGCAGCTGCATTATAACTGAGAATTTCCTGGGTTTTTTCTCATCTTAATTTGAAAATTGTGTAGTTCTGAGTCAAGAGGGAAATGTCTGTACGCTAAAGCCCTGGCTTTTCAGAATAAATTACCTCTAAAATGTATCAATGGCCCTACAATTCATAGGTTCACATCTACCAACCACATCTTCTGTTCACCCTCCTAAGTCTGCTCACAATCAGTTTAGACAAGCCATTGATCAGAAAAGCAGTGGTGCTTTCTTAATACCAATGCTTTTGAACAGTGATATTGATGACAGCAACTAGATATGCAATTAGTGCAGATATGTTTGTATCACAAAAAAAAAATTATGCTGCTTAGACAAAAACGCACCTGCAGGATTTCCCAAGTTCTCCTACAGGGAAAAACACCTTCCCTAAGCAATATTTAATTGCAAACAATAAAGATTTTTATGTTTTGGTGGTTTGGGTTTTTTTTAAATCTACAAACCCAGGTTTTTTTCCAATACAAAAAACCAGAGGGTACATACACACCTGTAATTCCCCCCCCTTTTTTTGCCTGTCCCAATAAAAAGTGACACTAGAAAGCAGAGCCATTGCTCTGCTTTATTCGATAGACACAGACAGCCCAAAGCATTTTTTTCCAGAAGACACGTTCTTGTCTAGCTACTACCCTAACATTCAGGCCTTAATACATTACAGAGGACTATGGTCTGGTTCAAGTGGAATTTCCCCTGAAGCTTTCCAACATCAGTTCCACTATAAAAGCAGCAACAATAGGAAGACCATAGTATAGCTAAGACAGATATACTGGTCTTTTTCATCACGTGTCATACAAGCTCTAAACATGATTTAGAATAGAAAAAATACTACAGCTTATTGCATTAGAATTTGCACAAAGGTCTAATGTAGATGCC